CCACATACCTGCCTGAAATGACCTGGAACTGTTTTAACTGAATTTGAAATGCCCAAGTCTTAGAGAGTCCTTGGCGAATGGAGAAGTACTGCAAATTGCTGTACAGATTGTCAGATTGCCAGAGAATCAAGAGGGTTCCGGGTTTGGCTTGGAGCAGCCAGATTCTTCTTCCTTGCTGGACAGCTCTCTTTTATTCATGCATGGGAAGATACAGGATTTCTCTCTCAGCTACTGATGGAACAGTAGCCCTGACGGGGGTGTGCATAGAGAAACTGGCCCACTGTGCTAAAAGAAGGCAGCTCCTGTGGTTCCTGGCCTGTTACTCCTTTTGTCCAAGGAACAGTCCATTGTCTGCCTAGTCTTGGTCTCATGTCTGATGCCAAATGCCACAAAGCTGTTCCATTTGGTATCACTGAATCTCAGCCCAAGATCCAGGAGTGCAGTTACATTCCACAGAAGGTGAAAATAGTTCTTCTTCCCTGATTTTTCTGCCTATGTAATGAATTTCTTGCTCAGTATAATGGGAATTTGTGACTGCAAAGCAAAAAGGAACCTGCCTTGCAGATGAGGACAGAGGCGAGGGAAGATGGAAAATTAGACAACATTCCCACTGCAATAAAACATGCAGGCTGCTAGTTATGAAGCAAATATCCATGGAAAGTGTGAGCCTGATTGGAGTTCAGTCTAACTGAACGTGTTTGTTGATTCAGGAATACTTCCTGGGACGAGAATATAACCATGGTCAAAATTAGAAGTCACTCAGGACTCATTTAGGTTTCCAGTGAAATTTATCTTTGTTAATGTTTGAATATAGGTATACACCCTTCTTAAATGTCAAGACTGGGCTGGCAAAGTGGCTCAAGTGGTAAGGGCACCTGCCTAACTGAGTTTAAACCCCAGTGCCACCAAAAAAAAAAAAAAAAAAAAGGTCACGATTGAGGATTCAAACAGGGAAATATAGACATGTGCCACTTAACAGGGCTATGTTCTGAAAAATGCATCCTTAGGCAATTTTGTCATTGTGCACTTACACAAACTGAGATGGTGCATGTCAGTCATTCAGTATGGCCTCTTGATGCCATCAAGAGGCTTGATAAACAAGATTTATGAGGCTGCTGCCAGTGTAACACAGCATACTATTTTACAGTAAACATTTTTTATATAAACAGAAGGAATATACTCTAAAATAATGACAAAAATATAATATAAATATATAAGCCAATAACAGGCGTTCATTATCTTTACTAAGTACTGTCTTGTACATAATTATATTGCTGAACTATCATACAACTGACAGGGTAGGAAGTCCACTCCACCATCATCTCAAACACAAGTGCAATGACATTGTACTATGACATTGTAATTTTGATTCTATTAAACCACCAATAATATACACAGTCCATCATTGACTACAGTACAAACAGTACATGACTGTGTCATTTTGGTGGGGTAGGCTAGAGAAAGGATTTTATAGAAATCCTCAAAGAAGTTTGGCTGAAAACTAAGAACACTGCTTAATACAGACATGGTCATTCGATGGTTTCCCATTAACTATTTTTCCCTTACTACCAGTTACATTTTTCTCTTTTCATTTATTTCCCCTTTTAACTCTAGGAAGATAGTTATTAACTTCTCATCTGTGGAAAGGCATCTGCATCTGTCAAGTCTTGAGACAGAGATAATTTGGGTGTTTTGCCCCAGGCAACGTTGTAGCCAGTGCTCAGCTCTTATCCCAACCCCAGAGGAGGGCTCCTTCCTGCTGTAGTGACTATAATGAAACCTTGGAAACAACTTTTAATGGTGCCACTTATGTAGTAGACAAGGTATACCCCATTCCCTCTAGGATTCATTTATGCTGTACATGGGTAAAGATGTGAGACAGACTGGTGTCTGGGGCATAAGGGTAATTAAAGGAGAGTGTATTTAACTTTTTTTTTTTCTTTGAACTTCTTCCAGAAGTATTTATATGTCTGTCTGAACTTTGGCAGGAACAAGATGAAACCAAATTAGAGTTTTACTGAATTTATGTGTTTTGAGTCTGGGGAATCATATATATTGTGCAATTTAGTGTGGTGATATGTACTTTTATCTATTTGTATAAAATACATAAAATTTTGCAACCGTTTCTTCCAGCTCTTCCATAAAACCTTAAAAAAAAAAAATTCAAATAAATTCTCATTGGTGCCAGGCGCTGGTGGCTCACACCTATAATTATAGCTACTCAGGAGATAGAGATCAGGAGGACTGAGGTTCTAGGCCAGATGGGGCAAATAGTTCTCAAGACCCTATCTCTAAAATACCCAACACAATAAAAGGGCTGGTGGAGTGACCCAAGTGGTAAAGCATCTGCCTAGCAAGCGTGAGGCCCTGAGTTCAAACCCGAATATTGCCAAAAAAATCTTATTATCAATTTAGACATGCTTACTTCATTTTTTATCAGAACTCATTGGAATGCTATAGGAAGTTAGACAGAGATTAATATAAAATCAATTTGGAGAGGAGTAAGTGGGCAAATATAAAAGTGGGTAATTGTGGGGGGAAAAAATATTCCAGTTTATGAATAGCAACAAGGGCCTAGTTATTTCGTTTTTATCCTTTGGTTTTTACAGCAAGTATTTTCCCCTGTCTTATTTTGCAGAGAACAAAGGCATTTCTAATGTATGTATAGGAAACAGAATTAAGTTTAAGAGGTTGAGCACACCAATCTGACTCACTTTAATTTTGTAAAAAATACATATCATTCTGCTTCATTATGTTTTAAAAAACGCAGTCTGAACTGCTTATCTATAACACTTATAAGCAGCATTAAATTTGTAAAACTACATATCCATTTTACTAATTTTTTTCCTCCATATTTTGCTTCTTGACTTCTCCATGATATTTCCAAGTGACAAAATTTTAAATATTTTGTGTACTCTTATTTGGGTTTATCTTTTATAAATTGTTGCAAATAGGAAATATTTCAATTCAAACAATATTTGAGAGGCAGGCTGCATAGTATTTGCAAGGTACTATGTAATCTGCTAGAGAGGAAAGGATGGATATGAAACTTCCGGTCCCATGGAACACAGTTTAGAGAGAAAACAGACATTATGTATTGGTTTAAGATTTATTAGTTTATTTATTTAACAAGCACTTCTATAGCTCCCAGTATGCACCACATGTATTCTTCTAAGTAATTTGCAAATATTAGCTCATGCAAGTAACATATATATACAATGAGGATTTCTAAAGAGGAAAGTGGTAGCTTTTTGTTTAGATTTCACTAGAACTTAATAATAGGGAAAAACAGATGTGGCATGTGAGGGTAAGCATTCAGCATTCTTATTCTGTCGTATCTTCAGAATATGAATCCTGGACAGGACAGGAGAAAGATCACATTCTTCATGCCAGGAGAGTAGTCTTAGCTGGGTTCATAATTTCTGAATACTGAACAGCTTCTCACTCTGTTGGTTTTGGTTAGTGTAACCACATTTAATTCATACTGAGTTGGAGTGGTCTTTTCTCCTTCTTCCCCTCTTTCCTTAACGTGATTCATGTTTTTGTTATTGACTGTGTCCTTACTATTCTGAGAGAAGTTGATGAAAAATACCTCTCTTCGAACTCCATACCTCCCGCCCATCAGGCCAACACTCTAGGACTTGATCTACCCCGCCAGCCAAAAAATACATCTCTTCAAATTTTCTTAGTAATTCCAATTTCATAGATTATTTACATGCATGACTTTTTATTTTTTCTGCGGTACTAGGGTTTGAACTCAGGATCTCAACACTGGCTAGGCAGGTACTCTACCACTTGGGCCATTCCACCAGCCCTTTTTTGTATTGGATATTTTCAAGATGAGGTCTTGTGAACCATTTGCCCTGGCTGGTTTAGAACCTTAAAGTGCTTGTTCTCTGCTTCCTGAGAAGCTAGGAATACGGGCGTGAGCCACACTGGTGCCTGGCTCATGCATGACTTTCAAGATGACAATTTACAAACTAGACCTTTACTTAAGTAGTCTTAGGAAGGGGTTTTCTTTTTCTTGTATGCTCCAAATCTAATATTTCCCTTTGAAGTTTATTGTGATTTCTATTGTTTTTTTAAGCAATTTCCTTTAGAAACAATGTTATCCTTTTGAGGGGGGCAGTACTGACATTTGAACTCAAAGCCTCTGCTTGCAAGGCAAAGACTCTGTCATACCCCTCAGTCCTTTTTGCTTTGGTTAGTTTTTAGCTAGGCTCTCACTTTTTTCCCAGATGCCAGCCAACCTCAGACCACAGTCATCTTACCTAGGGGCCTCCCACATAGCTGGGACCACAGTCTTTTACCACCATGCTCAGCTTATTGATTGAGATGGGGTCTCCCTAGCTTTTTCCCTTGGCAGATCCCAGACCCCAATTCTTCCGATCTCTGCCTTCTGAACAGCTGGAATTACAGACATGAGCCACCAAGCTGGGCAACAATGTTATATTCTTGCCTGCATAATTTATACTATACATTGCAGAAGGCTTTAGAAATTATTCTACTTTTGTATAAACCTCATTTTACACACCAAAATACATTATGTAGGGTTATAGGTTAAGCAGAAGTTAATACAAAGACATGGGCAAGATTTTACTAGGCATGGAATAATCTTTTCATTCTCGAACCTCCTTGGAATTCGAGTATCTTAGAGAAAATTTAGGAGGACTCTAGCGTATCTTTTTTGCGGCAAATTTTTCTTTATTGCCTAATGTATTTGACCTTTGCTTTTTAGCTTTCTTTTTCCAAGATCAAATCCTGTTCATTAGGTTGTTGGTAATTAACTGGCTCCAACCTATTGTTTGTCTAGGGTAAGCCACTTTCCTCACCTGGCTTCCCAGTCTAATCAAGTTCTCTGATCAGTTACGAGTTACCAGTCTCAGTGTCAAGCAGCAATCTAGATAGGTGAGGATGAGAATATTACATATGCGTTATATTGAAATTTAACCTGTAAGGGAGAAAAATGCCATATAGCAGTTCTTTGTGCTGGTGTAAATTTTGAAATGTGCCATAAGTGTGCTTTGTTTGTAGGTCCATACTGTGGAAGTATGACTGTTCCCGAAAAACTCTGGCTGAACACAAATGAAGTAACTGTCCGCTTTGCGAGTGGATCCCACATTTCTGGTCGGGGTTTTTTGCTGACCTATGCCAGCAGTGACTATCCAGGTAGAGCAAAACAACCAACATCATGGATCTGCCTAAGAATTCTTGTTGCTACTTATCACCTTCTCTGGACAGAATTGTGATCTTAGATGTAAAGTTAAGATGTAGGGGAGAGAGAAACAGTTTCTTTGTAATAGTTGGGCCTGAACAGAATCATTTCATAGCAAATGTAGATAGATTAGCTGACCATGTGGGATAGGGTGAATCTCTTTTTACCTACAAGCCTGGAATAGTGCATCTTTGGGGCTATCCTCCTGATCCCTTCTAAGGCCTGGTTGGTCTCTGGAGCCTTCCTCCTGCCTAATTCCTTGCTCAGGGAGCAAACATTTTAACGAGTGACCTCCCATCTCCATCCTTAACACATATCCATGCACATATTCAGTGTGGGAGATACTCATACCAGTATGAGGAGGTTTCTATCACATGGTACCAAAACTTGAGTGGGAAAGAAGGGAATGGAACATGAACACTGAAGAGAGAGGAAAGTGGGCTGTCCTGGCCTCTGTACTCCAGAGTCATTACCATGAAGCCCAGTCCATATCTGTCTAGGGTCACAGAGGTGTCCAAATTTCTCCTCTGGTGAAAATAGTCAGAGAAAGGGATGTGTCATTCAGGTCTGATTAGCTAGTATGACCAGTGTTCGTTTTGTGTTGCTTCCTAAGGTTCTTGACAAGGTTGATGAAGAGAAAGAGTTATACAGCAAGAGTGGAATATTTGGGGAACTATAGTAGATTTATCTAAATGCATTGACCTTTAGAGCATCTTAGGTTCCCCATTGCTGAGTGTTAGTTCAGTTTTGTAAATTACTCCAGAGAACATCTTCTTTTAAGAGCTTGGTCCAAATGATGAAGGCTGATATACTGTAGTGTTCTGGGTAAATATTTGTCCTGTGTCACTGGATGCCAGTGGCTAAGTTGAATTAACATGTTCTTGGAAACCTTCTCTATGGACCATCTGGGCTCTTGAAAGGTTACCCATATGCCATATGCTCTTTGTATGTATGTAGTGGATAGTAACTAATGAGCATTGGTTTTTCTGTTGGAAATAGAATCTGGTATCTTTTACTTGAAGATAACACTGGAAAACCATTCTTGGTGATAGGAAAGTGAAAAGAAAGGAAATGATTAGATACTGGAGACAGAGTTCTCAGGTTTTGTTAATTTTCAAACAGGAAAATTCAGATAACTAGCTAATGAATAAATGCTTTTAAAATTTGTCTTTTATTTAAAAGGACAGTTTTGAAGCATGGGTGCCCCAATCCTCACTCAATCTGCTAATTGCAATTATCTTTATTTGTGACAGATTTAATAACCTGTTTGGAACGAGGTAGTCATTATTCGAAGACAAAATACAGGTAAATATAGGTGTCCTGACTGTCCTTCAGTTATGTTGCTAAATGTTTTGTTTTCCTTAACATGAAATGAGATGAAGCTCCATATTTGTACTTAAGTTGTTTTTAAAGTTCTCATGTTGAAACTGATGAGGAGTATTTGAAATGGCTTCCTATACCAGAGGTCAGCAAACTTTTGTCAAGGGCCAGATAGTAAATAGTTCAGGTTTTGCAAGCCAAAAGTCTCTATTGCATTGATTCATACAATCTCTGTTGCTGTTGTAATAAAAAAGCAAACATTAGTAATGTGAACCTAAGCAAGTGTGGCTGTGTTACAGTAGAACTTTATTTACAAAAACAAACAGCAGATTTGATTTGGCCTATAGGCTATAATTTGCTGACCCCTGAATTACACCGTATTATCAATAAGAAATAATTGTGTATAGAGTATACTTTTTTCCTGGCCAATATTTGGGGAAGACTTTTGTAATTCTTTCATGGTGGGATGGTAACAAGGGGTTCATTTTGTCTTTCACGCTAAATAAAAACCTACTGAAGCCAGGCACCAATGGTTTACACCTATAATCCTACTTATTTGGGAGGCAGAGATCAGGAGGATTCCGGTTCAGAGCCAATCTGGGCAAATAGTTGTGAAACCCTATTTCAAAAATACTCAACACAATAATAGGTCTGGCAGAATGGCTCAAGTAGTAGCGCACCTGCCTAGCAAGTGTGAAAGCCCTGAGTTCAAATCCCAGTATCACCAAAAAAAAAAGAAAAGCAAGGGAAGGGGAAGGGCCTTCTGAGAATAAGGAAATGAAAATTGTCATCCCAGTGTTACTGTCATTCCAGTTTAACTGAAAAATCTCCTTAGTCTCTTTGATGTACATTTCCTTATCTAGAAAGTAAAGTAGTCTAGAGCAGGGTTACCGGTTCTTAGTGCTATGGTACTTTAGGTTGGGTAATTCTTTATTGTATAGGACTATCCTGAGCATTGTTGGATGCTTCCCTGGCTTCCCTGATCTACCCTCGTTGTAATAACCAAGAATGTTTCCAGACGTCCCAATGTCTTCCAGTAGGCAATCACCCCAGTTGAGAACCACTGTTTCTTAGTGACAGGTACAACTCTCTGCATTAGCATTTAGTAGCTCCTGTGAATACTTCAGCATGCCTACAAGGCAGGTTCTGTATAACCTGAAAACAGATGCACAAATTAATGAAGTCACTTACCAAGGGCTGCATACCTACTAAGTGTACCCAGGGAGTCAAGTTTAAAGAGACCGTGGTCCTAACTAGCTCAGATATTTGGACATTCTTAATATGATTATTTTTGGTGCAGAATCAACTTCCAGTGTTAATTTTAATATTAGGTCTACTAGAGATAAATGGAAAGTGAAAATGAGTAATAATTAAATGTTGCCTAATAAAATTACTGTTCATCCCACATATAAGTCAGCATTCTTTAAGGTTTTACCAGCCATACTTGTACAATCCAGTGGTGAAAGGGCCTCCAGGCATTAATATTCATTTTCTGTCCTGCCAAAAAAATAAAAGGAATATATTCAAGCATACAAGGTGTCATTAAGGTGCCAGATCACCTCAGATGTAGCCCATTCATTTTGTAGTGTTTAAAGATAGGGTGTGGTCATTGGTATAGTCCACAGTTCCTCATCCACTTCTGGAATACAGAAAGCTTTGAAAGCCTTTGTTACTCGTTTAGTAGCAATACCTGAATAATGTGACCTTAAATTCTATTGACAACAAAATTGTACTAGATTAACATAGAACTTTTTGGTCTAATGTGACTAGTATTTATGCATTTGACATAGAACTATTACTGTTTTTCATTAATGTATGCAGATTTATATATATTACATATAGTCTTATATACATCATTGGTACCATTTTACCTGTCTGAAATTCAGAACATTCTGAATTCTGAGTTCTAAGGGAATTGTCTCTGAAGAATTGTGAGTCTGCAGTAGGATTCCCCATTATTTTTGTTTGTTAATTCCTTGATTACTGTTGTAATGCTGGGATTCCAAAAGGTAGGGAAAGAATTGTGAAATACTTATTACAGTATAATTTGCTAAGTCAGCAAGAGGATACTGAAAGGAAATATAATTTAAAACAACTGCTATTGTGGAATGTGCTTGGACTGGTACACTCATTTTAGATAAACCATGTTAATATTATACAGTGATATATTTAGAAACAAAGGCACATAGTATTCATCTTCAGAGCTATCCATTTTCTTACAGTACTTTGGATTTCTTTTGTGTGTTTTTCATAGATGTAAATAGGTGGCCCTTATACCTTATTGATATGTTGACACTTGGAGGAATCAGAGATGAAAACACTGAGTGCAAGAGGGATTGTATGTAATATTCAGGGTTACACAGCCAGTTAGGTTGTGCCAGAGCCTGGTCACCCTACCCCTAGCACCAAGATCCTCCAGCACACTACATTCTGTGACATGTTTCTCAAAAGGTTCTTGAAAGATGATTGTTAAGTAAATTGAAACCTAATTTATAATTTATATAGACTAGTGCAGTCCAGTACAGAAACTACTGGAGACTTACAACTATTAAGCACATAAATTTTGGCAAATGCAATTTTAGATGTGTTGTAGATATAAAATACATTCCAGACATTGGAGACTACAATGTCTCCAATGAAATGAAAGAAATAGAAAGAGAGAAAGAAAGAAACATCATTGATAATTTCTTGTTTATTTACATGTAGAAATTATTAGAATTTGGATCTATTGGGTTAAATACAACATATCATTAATTTTTCCTGTTCCTTTTTACTTTTTTAATGTGGCTACTAGAATATTTAAATTTGCATGTAGTAACCATTATATTTTGGTCAAACAGTGCTAGTATAGGTAATGGAGATATAGAATATGTAACACAGAAAGCAAAAGTTCCTCAGAATCCTGCTCTTTCTTTTGTTTGAAATAGGGTGTTACTATATAGCCCAGACTGGCCTGGAACGCTTGATCTTCTTGCCTCACTCAGCTTCCCAAGTACTAGGATTTATAGGTGTGTACCACCTCACCCCGTTTAGAAATACTCTTTTTTTGTCATTCTTTTTAAGCTATAAAAAGTAAATTGTTACATTTATTTTTATAAAAATGAAATCATATTATATAAATGAAACTTTCCTTTTACCTTAAAACTATTTCTTAGACATCTTAGAACCAAAGTGTATTAGGGAAGCTCATTTTCAAATAGAGTCTATACAAAAAAAATGAAGCAAATAATTGTGTAAAACTTGCCTCCAGATTAACAGTTTTAGCTCAATCTGTGTTTTCACAAATTGGGTTTGTGAAAGCAAGATATTCCCTCATGTTCTATGGAGAAGAGTAACAACTTTTTAAATTTAAGTATAGTTTAATATTTTGTTACAATAAAATTTAATTTTAAAAATGCTTTATTTTTCTTTTTCCAGCATATTCTGCCCAGCTGGTTGCAGAGACATAGCAGGAGATATTTCTGGGAATATGGTACATGGCTATAGAGATGTAAGTAATTGAAGATAATGGCAGGAAGGAAATTAAGGAGTAAGAGTTGGTTGCTTTCCCTAAAGTCTTCACAAAGTAAAGTGAAATGAGATATAAAACTTTGCAAATGAGCTATTCTCTTTTCTGAGACAATGAGATGAAATAAGAAGCATAAAACCAAGGTTATCTAAGCATTTTTTCTTCTTCCCAGCATTTCTAGTTAAGTGTATACAAATGCAATGAAAACAAAACCTTTTTGAACACCTGAGTATTCTTCCATAGTGTTGGTCAGCATTCTGTTACCTATAACAAATACCTGAGATAGATCTACTTAAAAGAAGACAAGGTTTATTTGTCTCAAAGTTTTATTTATTGATTTATAGGTTTATTTTTCCAGTGGGACTGAGGTTTTATCTCAGGGCTCTACACTGAGTGCAAAGCAGGCACTGTGTTGCTTGAGCCACACCTCTAGTACTGTCTCAAAATTTTGGAGGTTTCAGTCCTTGGTCACTTTGCCCTGCTGCTTTTGGGCTTATGGTAAAGCAGTGCATCATGGAGGACCATGTGGTAGAGCAAGCTGCTCTCCCCTAGCGGTTGGGAAGCAAAGAGAGAGAGAGAAGAGAGCGGTCTCACAAGCGATGAGAAAAATGTTATTGATTTGTGTCTTCATGCAGGGAAAAAAATAGCCTTTTTTTTTTTTTTAAGACACTGGGATTCAAAATCAGGGCCTCACATTTCCTAAGCAGGTGATCTAACACTTGAGTCACACCTTCAGTCCTATTGAGAAGTTTGACACAGATATTTATTTGACCTATAAATTATTTGAGGACTGACAGAGTGACTCAAATGTTAGAGCACCTGCCTAGTAAGCACAAGACCCTTAGTTCAACCCCTAGTAACTCAATAAATTATTTGAATCTTCAAATGATTTATACTACTTTAGTCTGAAGATTTACTTGGCACAAGCTATAAAATGACTCCAGGAATTTAACTAAGAGAAATAAAATATTTAGGTGCAGTTTTTCCTTCCTAACATTAGAAAGTTTTTATTAATTATTTTCATGTGCAGGAAACATAAGAATTAGGTACAATAGGAAATTGCACAGTTTTTCTTCCTGTAGATGTTTATCTTGCTGCCTTTTGACAGGGATAGCTTCCTTATATCTCGTTTTCTGTGGATTAGGAGTCTGGGCATGCCTTTGCTGGGTTCTCATTTCAGGTTTTCATAAGGGTGCAACCAACCTGTCAGCTGGGGCTACAGTCTCCTTAGAGGCTCTGCTACAGACAGATATGTTTCTAAACTCATAGAGTATTGGCAGTGTTTGGTTACTTGAGGGTCATTGAACTGAAAGCCTCAGTTTCTTCCTGGATTTTGACTGGAGATGCACTTAGTTCTCTGTCAACTGGGCCTTCCCCACATGGCCACTTGTTTCCTCAAAGCTAGTACAAATGAGTTATCTAGCAAAGGTGTGTCCTAGTAAGACACAATGCAACCTTATGTAATTATCTCATGGAAATAGTATCCTACCTCTTTTGCCATATTCTGCCAGTTAGAAGAAAGTCACAACACTGTCCTTATTGGATGAATTCTACAAAAGTGAATACCAGGAGGCAAGGATCATGGGGCTTGTCCTAGAGTCTGTTCTATGGCACCTTCATCTTGGGAAATATCTTCACTTGTAACCTCATCTTTTCTGGAAGGGTCTTTGCAAAACCAAAGCATATCTTATAGGTCAGGATGACAGAATCTATAAAGCTAATTACCAGAGAGCCATTAACATAGCAGATGCTCTGTCTCAGGAGAGAATATGTTGTCTATTGTAGAAAAGGCATTGGTTCATTCTGGGTGGCTCCAAAAGGCAGAACTAGGGTCAGTGGATAAAAGTGATAGGGAGGCCAATTTCAGCTGCATATATGGAATAATTGAGCAGTGCAAAATGGGATGAGGATGCTTGGAGAAACAGTATAGATGTTAAAATCATTTGCTGGTGTGTAGGAAGGGTTCCGTGGGATGGAGATGTGGTGATCTGTCCAGAGCAGTGAATGGGAAACATTCAAAGGCCTTTTGAATCACTAAGATTCTGAGTTTATCTCCTTGACTAATTAATTCAGGCTTCTGCACTGCAGTCTGCTTCCACTGCCAGCAAAGGAGTATAGACTTCTCTTGAAGATCTGCCCCCTTACTTCCAGAACAGTTTTTGTCTTGGCACCTTCTTCTCAGCCTATTGATCTGAAGCCATCTGCTCTTAAGTGGAACACATCGCTTAATTCATTTCACTAATGCTCTTTTCTCAAAAATCTTCAAGTACTGTAAAATAAAGAAAGATAGTACTCCTGGTTTAGGTCAAGAAGGGGAGAAACTAGATCTTTTGTGCACATAAAAAGCCATAGGAAGATACAGTGTAATGGTGAGTATCTCTGAGTGATCTTACTTATTTTCATATTTCCCAACATTTCTATAATAAGTGCATACTATTTTCCTAAAGAAAGTATTACTAATATGATAATTATGAAGACTATAGCACGTAGGAACAATTCATATGATAGAAGGTGGAATATATCATTTTATGATTTAACATTTTACCATCATTCTACCAACATTTTTAAGCATCTGCTTTATTCTATCCATCTTACTGGTTTTGGGGGTTATTTTTTGGCAGTACTGGGAATTGAACTCAGGGATTCATGCTTGCTAGTCATGTGCTCTACCACTTGAGCCACTTTGCCAGCCATCTTACTGCTTTTGACTCATGTTTTATTAACTGTAATATAAAATGTTTACTTTTATGTTAAATTTACTCTTAATGCATTGTCAATACTTTTCAGAACAAGGTGATTTTTTTTCTTTAAGGAAGATTTTTTAACATCCCCCAATTCTGGGGTGATTTGATAATCACTTGGGAAATTGTTTTCGTTGAGTCTCATGCTAATCTGTTTGACCATCTTTTGTGGTTTAGCAGCTTCAGAAACACTTAGTGTAGCTAACGCTGTGTCTGCAACTGCTTTCACTATGCAGGTGTTCTCCTGGGTGGCCTGTTGCATTTCCTTTCCTGAAGAATCATTACACTTAAATGATTTCATTTGAGTTAATGAATTTTGTTTAAGGTAAATCACTAATTAACACAGGCCAGCAATGTGGTTCTCCTACATTTATACTTGACTAAGACTTAGACTTCAAAAATGGGTAGAAAATCAAAGTATAAATTATTCTGTTGTTCAAAGGACAATTTTCTAAAAACCAGATTTAATGAAGGTGAACTTTTAAAATTAATACCTAAAAAGCCACCCTTAAGTAAACAACAATTTTGTTTAAGTTGAATGGGTGAGAGAGTGTTTTTTAAAAAGGAAATAGTTCTGGTAAAAGCTGGTAATTTTATCATAATGATGTTAGGCAGACCTGGTGGCTCACTCTTCTCTTGGAGAGTTATCATGTGGCCTACATTAAATATTATGGGAAAGTGTTGCTATAATTAAATAAATTCCATAAAATGGTATATACCATTGGATTTTTTCAATGCTGGGTGCTGTGGCCAGTGATGCTGGTAGGTTCTGTTGTTCATTGACCTGTGACCTTGTTCTCTTCTACCCAAGCCAGGCTATAGGACATGCCAAGTCCAGTGAGAGCTCTACATAGGGCTATTAGGTGAAGACTAACCCAGCTCCAGCCAGAATTCTGAGAAAGATACTCGAGGGACAGGGAGAATGGCTGCCCAGTAGACAACTATACTAATTTGCTTCCATTCTGGAGCTGAGTGAAGGCAATAGCTCTCATGGGCAGTACAAAAAGAAAACTGGAAGGCCTAGGGTTATAGCAGAATGATAAAGTGCTAGCCTATCATGTGTGAGGCCATGAGTTTGATTCTCAGAACCATAAAACAAAACAAAAAATACACTGGATACCATTTAGAATCATGAGGTAACAAATCATTGTCATTGTTCAGATGTGTAGGGAAACCAAGTCAAGAGCAGAAAAATTACCTCTGCATATCTAATGCAGAAGCAGATGACAAGTTAAATTACTGAATTTAAATTCAACACTATTTTTTTTAACTACTGGCTCCCCCATTTTGTACCTCCCCCCATTTTGTACCTCAAGAATCTAAACCAGTGACAAAATGTTTTTTTGTTTGTTTGCTTGCTTGCCTGCTTGCTTGTTTGTTTTACAGCGCTGGGGATCCAAACCAGGGCCTTGAGTAAGCTAGGCAAGTGCTCTGCAATTGAGTGACATCTCCAGCCAAGAAAGTTGTGCGGTTTTGTTTTTTTTTTGGATTTTTTTTTTTTTTGGTGGGACTGGGATTTTAACTCAGGTCTTCAAACTTGCAAAGGAGGCATTGTACTGCTTGAGTCATACCTTCAGTCCATTTTCTCTAGCTATTTTGGAAATGGGGTCTCACGAACTATTTGCTGGGGCTGGCCTCTAACCATGATCCTCCTGCTATCAGCCTCCCAAGTAGCTAAGGATTATAGGCAAGAGTCTCTCTAACCTGGCTAAGCAAGTTTTTGAATGTAAGCAGATTCAGAAAACTTTTTTTAAAAAATGCAAGCTTCATTTTTATTAAAGAGCATTACTTTTTTTCTAGTTCTAACTCTTCTTTTTGTTTCCAAAGTCAGGAGGGGTAGGCTCTGCATCTGTGTCTTGGCATTCTCAAAATTTCTTTTCTGTTATGAAATCTTCCCTCTTTTTTGGCTATGATAGCAAGTACTACAAAACTGATGTCCTTTGCCAAATCCAGTTTAGTTTAGGAAATATGAAGTCTCTAAAAAGTTCTCAATTTTTTTGCAACAACAGCAGTTACAAACTATGATTTGTCTCATCTATTCTTCTAATATTTTAACTTAAATCTAAGGGAACATTTCCATTATGAGTAACGTAAACAACACTGTCATTAACACAAGGAGGAGCTCCTAAATTCAGTGACTGAGACGCAATTTCATGAGCTGCTCTTTTTTTTGGCATTAGTTCTCAGAAGTGGGGCATAACTGAAGTTTATTTAGAATGATATTCTCATTCCACAATCCTGGCCTGTCTGCCTTATCACCCTTCCCCACCCCCCCAGGTCTGTACTCAGGGGCCTATGGCCTGGGCACCCCATGGAAAACTTCTAGTTGTTCCTTCAGCCCCACTTCCCACCAGAGAAAATTCTAACCCCATGACTGTGTGTTAATTGGAACTAGTCAGTTGTTCTTGTTTGATTTGTCAACAGCCAGCAGCTGCTAAATCTTCCAAGGCACAGGCCTGCTTCCCAGCAGGCACAAGCTGTTGATCTCTCTCGTGGGATTCAGAAAATTCGATGAGGCTGTGAACTGTGATTTCTCATCAGTCCTCTAACACCCACGTTAAGTTTTCTGTTCCCTTTAGTGTTCTGTGGCTAGTTGTTATCAGTAAATCTCTGAATAAACAAATGAAGCTATGGTATGGGATGTTCACCCTTTCAAACATTAAACAATATATGTATCTGGTAAACCAAGTCTAAGAAACAAGATCTATTATCTTTTTCTGCTTAAAGCCACCCCAAAACTTAGTGGCTTGGAATAACTGCCATTTCATTTGCTGAGGAATTTGTGAGTGAGCAGTTTGGGCTGTGGGTTCTTCAGCTCCCCTACCCTGGAATTGCTCCTGTGGCTGCTGTCATATGGCATATCAACTGCAGCTGGAGAGTCTAAAGCTGCTCCACTCACATGTGGTAGTTGGTGGGGTCACATTATCTGCAGCAGGACAAAGCAAGCTCCCTGGCCCGGTTTAGAGAGCAGGTGAAGGTGATTACATCAGGGCATGACTACTGGGAGGCATTTTTTCATGAGGTGGAGGTAGGCAACCGCTATTGTAAATCACCACAATATCTTAAATGTTTATTAAGTAAGCTCTGAATGATGATGTTGCTCTGTTTCAGACCTCTTTATTGTGCAAAGCCGCCATTCATGCAGGAATAATTGCAGATGAACAGGGTGGCCGGATCAGTGTGCTTCAGCACAAAGGAATAAGTCATTATGAAGGAATTCTGGCCAATGGTGTGCTCTCCAGGCAGTAAGTACTTTGCCTTTTTTTCTGAGAGGAAGATAGCCCTGAGACCATAATTAATCAGGTCACAGTTTTGAAAGAACAGTAGGGATGTGATATCAAGGTTTGTCAGCTTGAAAATATATGTGTGTGTGCTTAAGCAGCATTTTTGGTCTCTATGTGGAAGATAAATGTAGCAGTAAAAAAGCTCACTGGTTATGCTGACATGCACATTAAAATGGCACACATCTGAAGCCCCAGGGCAGAGCTGGGAGAGAATAAGGCTTATTTTTTTTTGGTTTCCATAAATTACTGGTTGTCTCCAGTTTTACCTAAGATATTGAAGGGGACAGGGAACTAAAATACATAAACCCTTATAGAACCACTGAGATTCCCAGAATGCTAGACAGTCTTTCTCTTTTTTTTTTTTGACGGCACTGGGGTTTGAACTCATGGTCTCATACTTGCTAGACAGGCACTCTACCACTTAAGCCATCCTTTTTTGTGTGTGTGTGATGGGTTTTTTTGAGATAGAGTCTGTTGAACTACTTGCCCGGGCTGCTTTGAACCACAATCCTCCTGATCTCTGCCTTCTGAATAGCTAGGATTACAGGCATGAGCCACCAGCACCCAGCACTAGCCAGTCTCTTGGGTAAGGGGTAATAAAATGTTTTTTAAAAAGGAAATAGAAAAAGATGGCTTTTATTGTTTATGTTGTTAGCTTCTCATTTTGCTTCATAAGCAAAAAATATATGTCACTTGCTTAAACAGTTCAACTGAAGCTTTGTATGCTTTCAGATTTCCTCCACCTGGAAGCTAGATCTGTGCAGAACTGAATATAGGCTGCTCTGTGGTGTGTATGCCCACACATATCAATAGGCAGCTTGGAATGGTCGAAAAGGAGGGCCCCTCCAGATGGACAGCTAGTGAGGAAGATATGTTCCTTGAGCTACTGGATTTCTCTCTCACTCCTTTTTCTCTGACTATGGTGACTGTTTTTTGAACAACTTTCCACATGGGTTTGGACCTCAAGATAAGGCACAAAATGGAAGCTGCAGTCATTTTGGGATCCAAAAGTGGGAAAAATAAGTCAGGAGCTGTATCTTCTGCTACTCACAGTCTGTATGACGATATTCTCTGGTCCCACTGTTTTGCTCTTGCAAACAGAAAGAATGAGGTCATATTTTAGCTGGAAGTGTGGCTCATGTGGCAGAGCACTTATAGTAAGCACAAGGCCCAGAGTTCAATGCCCAGTACTGCCCTCCCACCTCAAAAAAAAAAAAAATGCTGATGGCTCATGCCTGTAGTAATAGCTACTTGGGAAGCTGAGATCAGGAAGATAGTGGCTCAAGACCAGCCCAGGCAAAAAGTTTGCAAGACGCTCATTCAACCAATTATTGGGTTTGGTGGAGTATGCTGGTCGTAGCAAGCTGTGTGGGAGGCTGAGAAAGGGAGGGACAGTTCCAGGCAAGCCTACTCCTGGCAAAATAGTTTGAGAGACCCTATGCCAACAGAAAAAAGCTGGATGTGGTAGTATACATCTGTCATCCCAGTGATGGTGGGAAGTATAAAACAGGATTGTGGTCCAGGTGGACCTTGGCAAAAGGTGAGAACCTATCTCCAAAATAACCAGAGCAAAAAGGCAGTAAACACCTGCCTCACAAGTGCAAAGCCGTAAGTTCAAACCCAGTACCACCAAAAAAAAAAAAAAAAAAAAAAAATTATATTTTACTGTTGAATCCTTACAGTGGATTGTGTGCTATCTTATCTGGTAAAAATCACATTATGGGTAGTGGATCGGTTCCCAAGTCAGCACATATATGGTGGCTCTGATGTGATTTTTAAGAAAGTTATATAATACTTTTTCTCTTTCTCCTTCTACTTTTTCTAAATGTATTATAGGTTGGCAATGTCATCGGTCAAATAGAGATCCTGACCACAAGTTACAATGTTGTTTTTATAGGAAGATATATTCTAAGTTCCAAAAGATCAACTTTTGAATTTATAAGTAAATTTTGAGTCTAAAACCATTTCTGATTGGGGTGTTGGTCCAGGCTTGGGCTTGGGAGTAGCAACTGCAGTTAGAGGAAAAGTTGGTTAAATCCCCTTCATGAAGGAAGCAAGCCTTGGGTTATGATGAGAAGCAGGAACAAAGCCTAGGAGGTGTACTGGGGTAGAGTCAAAGTCTTAGGATGAATGTCAGAGAGCAATTGTGACCATAAACGTGTCATGCTCATGACCAGTAGGCTAGTTGAGGAGAAAAGGCAGAGCCTCTGACTAGCAAGTTCCCAGCTCAGAGTGAGGTGATGGTTTACTACAGATGATGTTCCAACCTAACTTTTTCATATGCAATGCAAGTAATGCCATATGTAATTGACAAAAGACTGATCTTCTAAGGACAGGATGCACACTACATACATCTCATGATATTTGGGTTCTTCCTCTACCATGACTTCCCATTTACCTTCTCTCCTAGATAGGATTTTTAACAATGAGAGGCCACAAAGTATTCTTTTTATCTATCTAAAAGTTCAAAAAAGAAAATCAAATCTCTAGATTTGTGCCGAAGTTTAAGTTCTAACAGCTTAGTAACAGGATGCCTTTAGAAACTAAAATCCTCATTCAAATAAAATTACATATATACATATCCACATATATTTTTCACATATATATATTTGCCTCAACTCTTTGGAACATTAAAATTTACAGCCTGATTTAGAATGAAACTTATCACTCATGTAATGTAAGCCTTTAAATGTGAGAATTTCTTTTTATGTTTTTTGATTTTTTTTTTTCTATTGATACTAGGTGCTATTTCAGGCTCTGGCCTAGGTTTCTTGGGTGTTGCCCTCTCCAAATAGTAATGAAGTATTGGCCTTTGGCTTCAGATCTCTTGCCTATATTTTTATATATCTGAATGCTTCTTTTGTAAGAAAGTAAGATAGCAAAGTTTAACTTACACTGCTTGGATTTTATTTTACTTTTGAAGAAAAATTATCAAAATTACTGAAAAAAGTAGTACTTTATTCCTCAGTTACTTCTGTATTGACTGAACTCAATGCATGTTTATTACTTTGATGTAGCTTGAAATTAAATTTCTATGACAAAAGTACATAAATTTAAATCATTAATGAATTAGTAAAAGTGTTGCTATATATTGCATATAGTTATTTGAGCAAATAGTCTGGTTTCTGTTTTGGTGGGTCCCTTCTGCCTAGCTCTGTAATTTGGCACTGACTTTTGCTCTAAGCAAAGAATCATCTGTATGTTAATACAGTCTCTTCCACACATTTAGATTCCCAAATCTTCAGGGAGCCCGTTGTTTTTATCTGTGTTGTTTGCTGTTTGGGAGCCACTGTACATGCGGTCATTGAACTTATGTTCCCACACATGGTTGTTTGGTGTTCAGGAAAAAACACAGAAGGAAGCACTGCAGCTGAGGAAGACAAGATCCCTAAAGTAAATATCCAGCATACTTCTGGGATTCATCCGGGGGTCAGGCCACTTCCTTGACTTGAGGAGACCAGAATGGAATCAGGAAGAGGGGCTGACCTCATACAGAGGATGAGTCCTAATGCCAGAAGGAAAAGCCTTCCTTTGTGTTTGCCTCAGGTTATTCTTCACTGTAGCCCTTTGGGAGGCTCCTTCCTTGTTCCTGTAATCTGATGGAATTCATTCACCCTAAGTGGAAATGCCTCAAAGCCCTGTTCTCCCGTTGGTGTTTTCATTTTTCAAAGAGGAGGCTTATATACCTATAGCATTCTCCAAGTGGTCACATTTGATTAGTATAAAAGAATGAAATGGAAGAACATATTCTAGGTGATAATGGAGGAAAGCCAGACAAAGAGCTGTTAGAAGCAGAGCTTCTCTGGTATCTTCTCTGAGTGTACTCCAAAGTCATACTTCATCTGTTTGGTCAACAACAAAAAATAAAAGTTAACATTTTAGTATTTCACAGCAGTGGGAGTGAGAGTAGGCTTTCAAGGTTGCTGCAGTATGGTTTGGGCTTATTTGGCCCACATTTTCAGTATAACACTTCATGCCAGAACACTTGAGGAAATGGAAAAATTAGACAAAGAGAAGCTACAGCTAAATCCTAAATTTTTCCCAACACTGTGCACCTTTCTTTAAGGGTCTTTGTCCCTGTCTGTGAACTTAGGCAAGTCTCATAACCCATGTGGGTCTGAGTTTCCTCCTATGAGAAATGACTGACCACTGCAGTTTATTCAGTACAGACATTATAATAGAACCTTTGTGTGGAATACCAGAGTTTGTGGAGCCTTGAAGTAAGAGTAGATAAAGAATGTGAAAGAAAAAAAAAAATCCATTCCAGGAAGTTTTACTACCTGATACTTCTCAAAAGTGCTTTTGATAGGAAGGTCCTTACCTTCTTGAACAGATTACTTTCGGGTTCTCTGTGGATTTCATGTTTTGGTGTGCTCTGTCCCTCTCTGTCTCTTTCTCCCTCTACATACAGTATGTAATTCAAAGTCAAACAGAATAGTAAGCAACTCTTTCCGAGTGTAAAATAATTAAATAGAGCAGAGTCCTGGTCTTTGTCACTTGTATGAATTTAGGAAGCCTGTTTATCTTTCAAAACTCCTGATGAAAATAATATCAGTGGCCTTGCAGGGGTGTTGTGAGGAGTCTGAGGCTGCCTAGGTGGGGAGGCACTTGAGCCCTATGCTACCACCCTGTTTTGTTCTCTGGGATCCAGTAAAGTGACTCATTCACTCCTGTGTCTGTCTTTTGTTTCAGTGGCTCCCTGTCAGAAAAGCGCTTTCTGTTTACCTCCAACGGTAAGGATCAAGTTTTCTTCAAGAATTTGGTTGTCTAAAATTCTTCATTAGTAATGAGCTGGGTATGGTGGCACCTGGAGGCAGAGGCAGGAAGATCTCAAACAAGCTTCTAGGTCAGTCTGGGCTACCTAGTGAGACCCTGTCTTAAAAACAAAATGAAGCTCTTCAGTGCTAGTTTATTCCTTCAGTGGTAATGAACTTTAAAAGTACATTTATTTTTTTCAGAATATAAAATAATTTACATAATGTTATGATTAGAAAAATACAAATTAGGAAACAAAAATCATCTATAGATGATCACCATATCCTACTGCATTTAGTCAACTATATTTGTATTTCTAACTTTAAGACGTAAGTAGTAGCATAGTATATGACCTGTTCTGTAACGTGTTTTTTATTTAACATATTATGAGATCAATATCTTTATAGCATTATTTTCATATGGATATAACATTTTTTAGTCAGCCATTCCCCTCCTGTTAGAATTTAAGTTGTCCAATTTCTACCCAGACTTTCACTCTTATAAATAACACTGCTGTTATTTATACACATTTTGTATCCGTCTAAGTTTCTTTTCCTTCTATTCATGAACTACACATTTCCACTCCTGATCATCCCTTTATTTTCTTCCCAGAGATCTCAAAAAGCAAGGTGAAGAGCAGCCCACAAGCCCGGGGGCCCACTTCAGTGACTGTTAGAGTAATCTCCTTTCCTAAAGCAGAAAGGGTGGTAGGAAAGTGTGGTGTTTTGTGAAGCAGAGTGGAAATGCCATTTGAGGTCATCAGGCTGCGTTTCCTCTCAGTCCACTCCAGAGTTCTGGTAATTAGAATCCCACAGCTCCCCAGACCTCTGTTATGGCTCAGGTCCAAACCCGCCCACCATTTGGGGAAACTGGACTCTAAAGCCAAGCTAGGAGCTCCACGCTGAATTTAAGTTCTTTATCTGTCTAAATAATTCCTGGCTGGGTGGGCCCTCTTTAAACTGGCCGCCTTGATTCTGACTTTTGTAGTCTGACACAGACCAAACAATAAGCTCAGAGTAAATGTTAATCCCTGAGGAGCATTGGAAACTGCCATTTTTGGGGAGGAGAGGGACAGTGATTTATTTTCCCAAAATTAGCCAGGATTCTGAGTCCTTTCCTTTTGCTTTCTAGTATCAGTAAATGCTCATTCATTTCCCCTGTATATTAAACAGTTGAAGACTTCTCAAATCCAGGCTCAGTTTTATGCCATGAACTTTGCTTTGCAGTCATTTATACTGTGACTCATTGGCTTTCCCTGTCTCCAGGAATAAATGTTGCAACTGTGGCTGTTCCATTGGTGCTCCTCATTGTGCTTCTTCTGGCTGGAATTGGGATCTTTGCAGCCTTTAGAAAGTATGTGAGTTTACATATTTTAATTTCTTCTCTAATTATGTAAGCTATCATAAACCCAAAAAGTTTACTCTTCAGGTACACATGTATCAAAAAGCATCTTCTTTCAAGATAAAATGTGAATTTATTCTCAGTACCACTTCTGGAATAAAAACATGAATTTGTATTTTAAAAACAAGTTTTGTAGAGACTGTTGAAGTCAACATCCAGAGACTTCCTTCTGAAGTCTCCCCTCTCCTTTCCATAGAGTGGAAAGCATATTTGAAAGGAGTCCGGAGGCCCAAGTCCTGGTGCAATCTGTGTCTCTGGGCAGCCCAGTCACTCCATCTCCCCAAGCCACAGATTTCTCACACATAAAATAAAGGATTTTACCACAGTGAGCACTGACTCTTTTCCAGATCTCAGACTCTGTATTCATTATAACAAATGTTAGGACTTGTGTTTAAACAAAAAAATTAAAATCATTCTGAAGTTTTTCTCTTTTTACATTTTTAAACACCTTCACAACTTAGTCCAAATTGAAAGAAGCATCATTTTCCAACATAAGTGAACGAAGATATTAAATCTCTAGTTTTTTAAAGACACCACAATTTGGACTTCAGTATAGAAAATAGGGCTGAACTGACACATGTAATCAGGAGGAATTACTTCAGGATTTTATTAATTGCATGGGCAAGTGAGAAAATAGAATAATAATACATTGGTTTTTAGTATGTAAAATAAAATTAGAGCCAGGCACCAGTGGATCACACCTATAATCCTAGCTACTTGGGAGGCTGAGACTGGGAGGGTCAAAGTTCAAAGCCAGCCTGGACAAATAGTTCAAGAGACCCTATCTCAAAAAATACCCAACACTAAAAAAGGGCTAGAGACATGGCTCAAGTGGTAGAGTGCCTGCCTAGTGAGCGTGAGGCCTTGAGTTCAAACCCTAGTACCACAAAAAAAAAATTTTTTTTTAATTAGTATACATTCTTCTAGAGAAAATATTGTGACCTTTATAAGATAAATTTATTTATAATCCTATATTTTCATATAACTTTATAAGCACATAGCAACTGCTATGTCATTTAATCCTCACAACAGCCCTATTAGGTAAGTACTATAATATTCATGTTTATACAAGGAGACAAAGGCACGCTGACTTACAATATTCAGTAGGACTTTTTGTATTGATAGGAGGAAGAAGAAAGGAAATCCATATGTATCAGCGGAGGCTCAGAAAACAGGTTGGTTAAAACTTCATCTACAGTTTTATTGTGTATTTGAGGAAGTGACAAGATCTGATTGAAAGCATGAATAGGCTTGGAATGTAGCTGAGTGGTAGACTGCTTGCCTAGCATTTATGAGGTGCTGAATTTGATTCCCAGCACTGCAAAAACAAAAATCACAAAACATCCTAAGTATCTAGTGACCTATACTTATACAGCAGTCTCTCTTTGTTTTATCTGTGGGGCATATGTTCCATGACCCCCAGTAGATGCTTGAAACCATGGATAATATCGAACCCTATATATACTGTTTTTCCCTATAGGGGCATACCCAAGATAAAGTGTAATTTATACATTAGATACAGTAAGAGATTAACAATAATAACTATAACAAAATAGAACAATTATAATAACATACAGAAATAAAATTGCTACTATTACCACCCTTGTGCTTTGAGGTCATTATTAAGTAAAAGAAGTGTTGCACAATACTGTGATACGATATCAGCTGATTTGATCACTGAATTGACTACTCATAGGGCAGCATATACAGAGTGGACATGCTAGATGGTGATGATTTATCACATCCAAGGCAGGACTGTCCAGGATTTCATGTTTTCAACCTAGTATGCAATTTAAAACTTACAAATTGTTTATTTCTAGAATTTTCAGTTTGTGATTTTTGGGCTATGGTTGACTGTGACCATTTTACTTTTTGGAAAGCAAAATTGCAGATAAGGGAGCCAGGCGCCAGGAACCTGTAATCCTGGCTACTTGGGAGATAGAGAGAATCATGGTTTGAGGCCAGTCTGGGCAAGTAGTTCTCAAGACTGCATCTCCAAAATAACCATAACAAAATAGACTGTAGGTGTGGCTCAAGCAGTAGAGCATCTCCTTTGTAAACACCAAGCCCTGCGTTTAAACCTCAGTCCAGCCAAAGAAAAATCATACAGATAAGGGGAAACTACTGTATGGCTTAAGAAAGTAAGCTTCTCTAGTCTTTAAGTTTGCAAGTCTTAAAAAAAGGGAAATTTATTGCATGTAGTCTCTATATTTTAATTAGAATTTTCATGGTTACTTTTGTTCAGCATCAGCCTATCTTTTTTGGGGGGGGGAC